TTTGATTGCCAAAATGCATGGAAAAAAGTTGAGTTTATAGGTAAAGAAACCCTCATCTTTACCAAAGTTCTGTAAAAGACCTAGAGTCTTTTTCATTAAAATTAAACCTTCTGAAAAAAGGAATACATTTTATCCAAGTCACGACGAAGGAAAGAAAAAGAACAGATCGAAAAGTTTTTGGGATTGTTTGGTAATTTAACAAATAAAAAATGGAGCCCAAGTAGAGGAGAGAAGAAAACAAAAAGAACAAGAGATGTTTAAAACCTAGTATAATATTAAACTTAATAAACTTTAGTTAATCATCCTTGCAAACTAGCTGAGTCACACAAAAAAGGGTTCCATAATTACTTGCCATCTCCTGTATGAAGGCATATGCTACATGCATGAAAACACACAAACTTTAACTAACATGATAACATAAAATCGGTTGCATATAAGAGCGAAACATGTTTCATAAAATACGTTTACAGAAATCCCAAAAAATTATTTGTTCTACTGAAAATCGGTTGCGAGACATGTTTCAAGAAATATGTTTATAGAAATCCCAAAGAGAGATTCTATTTTCATGAAAGTAAATTCATATGGTTATCTATACTATCCCTATTGAAAAAGATTCTTCATTAGTAAATACTAGATGGCTCCCCGCATAATACGCGGATGAAATATTTTCTAATTTTTTAACTATCAAACTAATTAGAAAAATTTCGTTTCATGAGTAAACATTGCTAATGGTGTTTGATTAAAAATTTAGTCCTCTTAGATATTCATCTTCTACTTATTAATTTACTAAATAATTTTTTTTTCATGTGTTATATTTTTTGTAGTTTCTGTTCTTCCACTATTTTTTTAATTATTATTATTTTGAAAAAACAATACAAAAATAATTAAATGAGCATAATTTAGAGTATATTTTGAATTAAGATAAATAATTTGATTAAAAAATTATTTTCAAACTTTTTCAAATGTTGAAGACAGCATTCAAAAAGATAAACTCATTACACATTTTTTATTAAACTCATA